AAATGCTTTCATTTCTTCTATAAGTCATGATTTATGTAACTCACAGAGTCTACATCTTTCCAGGCCTGCTTTTCCGTCAAATCTCGTGTGGTACGAATTGGCTGCTACCTTTCATACTGTTGGTAGTAAACGGTACATTTTTCAGTGAAACTCACTCAGTACACAATGTGGGTGAGATTCCTGGGAAAAATTTCAAGGAACGAAGGACCAACGGTATCAAATGTACAAGCGAATTCGTACCACACGGGATTGGACTGCAAATCAGGCTTAGAGAGATGTAAACTCTGTGAGTCACATACACTATGACTTTCAGAAGGAATGAAATCGTTTGTCTCCAAAACCCTCGTGTGTGTCACACGGAATTTTCAGTCATCTGTGTTGTCCCCTGGTAGGAAATTAGCAATTCAGGATAAAAGTGCACATAAACACCAATGCAACATTGTGTTCGCAAAGCGCAGCCCCATACTTACTGAAGTCCTCAAATGACACACTGTGTTGGACATGTCTTTCTCTGTAATCTGCGTCTTGCTGAACAGTGAATGGTTTAACATAGTGATGTTCTGCTGTATATGACATTTTGGTGATATTCGTACCACACGTGATTTCCAGAAGTGCTTCTGCCTTCGTTCCTAGAAATTTTCCCCAAGAATCTCACCCACATTGTGTACTCTGTGTGTTTCACAGAAAGATGTACAGATTACTACCAAAGGTATCAAATGTAGTAGCAAATACGTACCACACAGGATTTGACTGAAAAGCAGGCCTGGAAAGATGTAAACTCTGTGAGTTTACATGCACTATGATTTTCAGAAGGAATTAAAGCATTTGTCTAAAAAACTCTCGTTTGTTTACGGAATTCACAGTAATCTGTGTTGTCTCCTTGTAGGAAACTTAGCAAATGACGATAAAAGTGCGCGTAAACACCTAGGCAACCTTATGTTCTCAAAGCGCAGCCCCATGCTTACTGAAGCCCTCGAATGACACACTGTGTTGGAAATGTCTTTCTCGGAAATCTGCGTCTTGCTGAACAATGAGTGATTTGACGTTGTGATGTTCTGCTGTATATGACATTTCGGTGATATTCGTACCACACGGGATTTCCAGAAGTGCTTCTTCCTTCGTTCCTAGACATTTTTCCCAAGAATCTCACCCACATTGTGTACTGAGTGGGTTTCACAGAAAGACGTACCGTTTACTACAAAAGGTATCAAATGTAGCAGCAAATACGTACCACACGGGATTTGACTGAAAAGCAGGCCTGGAAAGATGTAAACTCTGTGAGTTACATACACTATGACTTTCTGAAGGAATGAAAGCATTTGTCTCCAAAACGCTCTTGTGTGTCACACGGAATTTTCAGTACTCTGTGTTGTCTCCTTCTAGGAAACATAGCAATTCAGGATAAAAGTGCACGTAAACACCTGTGCAACGTTGTGTTCGGAAAACGCAGCCCCTTACTTACTGAAACCCTCGAATGACACACTGTTGGATATGTGTTTCTCTGTAATCTGCGTCTTGCTGAACAATGAGTGATTTGGACAGAACTAGTAACTAGCAAACACTTCCTGTTTCAATCTGCTCAGATCAGAGCAGATTAGATCCAACCTGCTATCTGAATACAAGTGCTCTAAGGGAGGGCACAAGCTCTGAGACAATATAGCAGCAGATGCATTAGATGCAGGGTTTCTCCCCAGTGTGAGCAAGCCTAGGTTACCTCAGCACTGAGGAAAGAGCAACAATCTGTATATCCGCACACTAGAAAGCTTTATTCAGATCTGTAAATTTAATTGTCTAGGATTCAGTCAAGTGACATCTGCACTGGTACACAATACTCTAATAATGAAAATAGCCAAACGAGGACAGTCTTTGACATTGCAGTCTTTAAGGTAACAGGCTAAATCAAATGCTTCATGTAAAATACCAGAAGTTTAGGTGCAGACTGATATTCTGAAAAATCACTTAGAGTGACATTCCAACTCAGTGACCCTATAAGGTAGGACAGAACTGCCCCACAGGGTTTTTGAAGTTGTAAATCTTTATGGAGCAGATTGCCTTATCTTTCTCGTGAATAGTTAATGACAGGTTACCTGATGGTCTATTGGTTCAGTTAGCCTGTAACCAGGGCTCCTAGCAGAGCATTCACAGCTGCGATGAAAAAAGCACACACTGCTTATGTACAAAAACCTCTATGAGTCTTTATTGGTTTTGGAGATGTGTGGTACATAAAATGAACAGCATTGCACCAGCTATGGAAGTACGGACAGCAGAGTGTTACTCTTCAACCAGGGTCTCAGGGCAACACTTGGCTCTAATACGCATGAAAAATAATTTTACAATATCACTCTGAAATAGTCTTTTAAAAGATGACAAGAACTGATAGCTCAAACTCTTTAAAATGTGAGATACAGTAGCTCCTTCAGTACTGGGCACTGGTGTGAAAGGCCAGCTTAGGCATCTGAAGGTAAGTCAAAAAAACAACCAAGTGAGGGCAAGAGGTTTTATTTTCAGTGTTGAGAGAGAAACCAGATGGTCCAAGTTGATACTTTCAGTCCAAGCTCACTGTGGGTTCTGTAGGAATCCAGCAGGTAATATAGTTAATAAGCCAAAGGATGAAAAATGCCAGCCAGTCTTTCATGTCACTGATTCCAAATGGAGAGACTGACACTGCAGGAGTCATAAACCACCATGGAGGAAGTGTAAAGGGAGACATCTGTAACAATTAAGGGAGCTGGTGGGGCCAGCCCAGCCCTTACCCTTCTGCCACTGGGTAAACAGTGGCACTCTCTACTTTCACATGTGAACTAGGAAGACTTCCTTTATGTCAATGTTCCATTTTGAAAATAACCAACACCATTCCCCTCCCCCCACTATTATTTTTCATAAATTCTGTTTCCAAAGATCTGATTCTCCTGGGTCTAGACTTTTTCCTTCCGCTTCAATTTGGATACTTTCTTAACAGTCCCATTCTTGTTTAGCAGCTTCAGGACACGGTCTTTGTGATCTAAGACTTTTAGCATGGAGTCTCTGGCTTCACTGATTTGATCCATTACCAGTTTACACCTCTGCATATTTCCCTGAAAGAAAGACAGGACATCTTCTATCAGTAATCATAAGGTCAATATGGCTTTTAAAGAATTTCACACAAATGGGTTCATACCATTTTGATGATATCACATGGGGAAAATGTTTTACTATTTCTTGATAATGTTGACTGAAGTATGTAATGAATTCTATGAACAATATGAAGATAAGGGAAGGCTAACACTGTCCAAGAACAGTCTCCTAAGAGAGGACACTATGCAGATAAAGAATCACATGAACCTGTATGAGCTCATTTATTCGGTGCAGATCATCATCAGTTGCTGCTTTTTTCTTTGGGATAATTCCTTCTTGTAAATTGGTTAGTCTTTCATAAACATCATGCTCTAGATTCGTCTGTAACACACAGGAGAAAAGATAGTGATTTCATACAATTTTTTTCTGTCCACCTCAGACAAAACTGCATTTCTAAAATAAAGCCACCTTTATAAACTGGTATTAAGAGCTGTTGAGGTGATAAAGTCCTTTCTTTTAAGATACAAAATACACATTAAGAGAAATGAATCAACACATATTTAAATGACAATTTGCCAAAGAGTCAACTTTAAGGATAAATTTTAAACAGTGTTCTCAAGTCATAATTTCTAAAAGAAAAAAAAAGTATGAATTTCATAGAAACTTGATTTGCTGCTAAGTGCAAAAACCAACCAAGGTGTTACAGTTTTAAGATGCTCATAAATGATTATGTTTCTCATTATCACCACTACTCCAAAGATTAGAAAATACTGACGTTATTCCATATAATTTGGTCCTGAGAACAAAAATTGATATATATTTAAATTAAAAGGCATAGGTACATATTATAATAATTCTAACATGACCACGTTAAATGTGAATGTTTCAGAAATTACTCAAAAGAAAGTGTTGACAAGTTGAGATGTCTCCAGCAGCATTCTCTCTTCAGCATGATGACCAGGTGTTGGAGCTGTACCTACCAGCTGCAGCAACTGGGCAGCACAGAGGTGGACTTTCCAGCCTTGAGCACGACAGGACACTCCTTTTTGATTAGCTATCTCCTGCAGCATAGCTTTTTTCTCTTCTGCAATCATATAAAAATGTTTAAATGTTTACAATGTAAAAGTCATTAACCTAACTGCTTATATTTTATTAAGACATGCAGTTGTTGTTGTTATGTGCCGTTGAGTTGTTTGCAACTCATAGCGACCCTATGTACAACAAACAGCCCTAAACCCTGCTCTATCCTGTGCCAATCTCATTGTCTCTTGACACACCCGTCCCGGTTAGCCCAGTCACAGAATCAATCCACCTCATAGAGGGTCTTCCCCTCCTGCGCTGTCCCTCCACTCTGCCCAGCATGATGTCCCTCTCTAAAGACCTGTCTCTCCTTACAAC